CCCTGATTTAGATATCAGGACCTCATTTGTATCATGCAAAGCATTTGGTAGGATTTCTTCTTTTCCTACTTTTGTAAACAGTTTATTCAATATTATAATTAATTATTCTCTGAATGTTTGATAGAATTCACCTTTGGGGGAGGATTCATTATGGCTTGCTCAGTTGGTTTTTCTGTGATTGGATTATTTGAATTCTCTTTCTTCTGTTAACTGTGTTTTTATGTTTATGTGATTTTAATCTGTTTCATTTAAATGTCAGTTTTGTTGGCTTTAGGTGCGCAAAATAATTGCGTTTCTTTTAAAATTAGGCTAGCTAATGTTTCATTGATTTTGTTTTTTTCTTTAAAATTAACTTCTAGTTTTATTTGTTAATTTAGTGTGTTTTCTTTTTAATTTGTTCATTTTCTTCTTGATCTTCAAAATTTCTAAGCTGATCATAAGTTGGAGAGACTGGTTGATGGGTTTTTGTTTCTATATTTTAGTTGCAAACCCTATTTGTTGACTCTTTTTTTTCCTCTTAGTACTTGATTAAAGTGTTTAGAGATATAGATCCTCTCAGTGCATTTTCTCTTTGTAGTGGCAGGAGCTCCTCTCTGTTTTCCTTCTTTCTCTCCAACCCCCTCCCATACATATTAGGCTAGTTTTTTCTTGAAAGGTTTTGAAACTGTCTTTGACATTTCTTTAATTCAGTGGGGAATGTAGCTTCCTGGTCACCTAGGTACATATACAATCAGGATATGAACAGATGGGGACTAGGGATACAACCAACACTGGAAAGCTATGCTCAGCTGAAACAGTGCTTTTTTCTAGATGAACCTTTTTTTCCCCCAGCCATGAATATCTTCTCACTGCTATGGATAAGTAAACCTCTTTTTTAAAAAAACTGTTAGGTGGATTATTAATGGCTCATTTCATTCCACTTTCAGACCTAAACTATTAAGAGATCTGCCTGATTGAAGCCCAACCAATTATAAGCTGAATTCTAAAAGTTCTGTATCTTATCTCATTATTATAATTTTCTTTAATTAAATTTTCTGTTGTTTCTATGATTTGTTCTTTGGCCCACATATTCTTTTGGATGAAATTATTTAGCCTGTAATTATTTTAATCTTTTCTTCAAAGATCTTTTATTAGACATAATTTTTATTGTGTTATGATCATTCTAAGATTTAGAAAAAACCACCTCTGCTTTTCTATACTTGTTTTTGAGATTTTTATACTTTAATACATGGTGAATTTTTGTAGAGGTATCATGCAGTTCTAAGATATAGCTACATTTCCTTTATATTCCAACTGAGTAATTATCAGAGGTCTATCATATCTAAGTTTTCTAAAATTCTATTTGGAACTTTAACTTCTTTCTTGTTTATCTTTTCCTTAGATTTGTCTAGGTCTGAGAAAAGTACATTGAGATCTGAAATATAATTATACTATCAATTTATTTTTTAATTTTCCTTTAAGTATTTAGCATTAAATATTGATAGTAAGTCGTTATCTGTGGTGACTTTAAGCAAAATATAGTTTCCCTGTTTACCTCTTCTGTTCAAAAGAAAAAACTCCTGCCTTGTTCAAGATCATGATTGCTAACATGCTTCTTTGAGTTGACCTAAATAAAAGCATAATAGATTTTACTCCAACCCCTTATTTTAACTTTTTGATTCATTCTGTTTTAAGTGTCTTTATTATAAAAAAATGTACAAAACATATCATCGAATTGTTTTCTAATTTATTCTTAAAACTTCTTTGTTTTATGGGTGAGTTGATCCCATTTACACTCATAGTTATGATCGATCATTAATTATTTCCCTTAATCCTATTTCTTATACAGTTTGCTCTCTTTGACCTTACCGTGTTCTTGCCAAAGAAGAGTGTGGTGAGAGAGGAGTATACTTAACATTAGTGATCCATATTTGAAGCTAAGTGCTTCAATTTCACCACTTCTTTTTTTTTTACTCTCCTAGCTCACTCTCCAAACACATATTCTTGCTCGCTCTTTCCTTTTATTACATCCTTCCTGACTCATCCTCCAAAATAGGCATTTCCTTTTCTTGAGATTAAATCCTGAATCTACCTACCCACTTAATTTCTCCTTTATAAGTGGGAAGAGAGGCACACCAGAGGTAGTGCATATAGAGGTAGAAAGAAATTAAACACACTATAGAATTAGGCAGGATTGAGGTCCTCATTACTTCTTCCTTATGTATTGAAATAGCCCCCTAATTGTTCTACTTGTCTTAAATTTCTACCCTTTCCAATCCGTCTTACTCATAAATGTCAAAATGATATCCATAAATATAGGTTTTTACCATGTCACTCCAGGCTCAGAAACCCCATGTTGCCTCTAGTTTCAAATACAAACTCCATTGTTTGACTTTTAAAGCCCTTCAGAGTCTAGGTCTGGCTTGCCCTTATATATTTTATGGTGCAACAAAATGACTTGTTGTCACTTGCTGTTGCTCTTATGTAATATTACATTTTCCATCTCTATGCCATTGTAAAAGTCCTTTAACACTCTTAGCTTCCTTCAAAGCTCAGTTCAAGTGCCATCTATCATCCTTCACTCTTTCACCTCCCCAAATTACCTTGTATTTGCTTTCTACTTATTTCGAGTTTAATTTGCTGTTTATGTTTTATTCTATTTATATGTTATTCCTTTCTCAATTCTCATCTTTGACTTCTGCATACACTGATGACCACTCTTTCTTATCAAAGACCTAGATACTCTTATTTTTAGGTTTTCATAACATGGCTTTGTCTTGTGTATCCTCCTACATTTTTGGCTAGTCCTCAGTCTCCTTTGTTAGATCATCATCCGTATAATGCCTTAGGGAAAGCTCTGTCCTGACACCTTTTCTCTATTTATACTTTCAGTCATTTCTTTGCAGATTACTCACAGAGCTATAGATACAATTTAAGTCTCTCCTGACTTCCAGCTCCAAATGACCAGTTGCCTTGTTGGACATTTCAAACTGAATCTTCTGGAGACAATGTTAAAAAAATATCTTTTCCTCCCAAACCCTTCTTTGTATTGAATTTCCTGTTTCTGTGAAGCACTACCATTCTTCTAGTCTCCCAAATTCATAGTCTTGGAATTAGTTAAACTCTTTGCTAAATCTCTCCAAAAATATCCATTTAGTTTCCTAACCTTGCCATTTCTATCTCCATAACAACTCTTGCATTTGGTGATGATGCCACTAGTTACTAGACACTAACTACAAATTAATTAATTTTCTAAACCAAGTCTTTCAGAGAGATGGAATGCTTGGTTTGTAACAGTGAAGACATTTCATGGCAAACCCTGTCAAAAGTATTTCATCCCTAGCCTTTAATAAACAAAAGTTACTTTTAGAAGTAACACAGAGGTTGGAGCTTTATTGATTCTTCAATCTTTTTCTACCCCCTCCTTTGGAAGTTTCCTAACAAACTTGGTAATTAAGGTGTATGGTAATTCTAATGGTGAATCTACTAGTAACTGGACACATACCTAAATTTTGTTTATTTCATGTAGCCCAGAACAAATTATGCCTACTTTTTTATAATGCTGCTAGTTTGTCTTAATAAGTCTGGGTTCTAATAGTTTGAAAGCAAAACCAAATCAAACCTTATATCCTGTTAACTAATCTTGTATTCTTATATTCCTCACTGCATTTTCCTCATTTGATTTCTGGAACAGCTTTTGAAAAAGACATGCTTGTTTGTGAATTAATGATAATATTTTTCCTTGAAGTGGATATATACATATATGGAAAGAGAGTTTGATTTGTACATGTAAATTGTTTTTGAAGAAGCTTAAATTGAATAGTTGAAAGTTTTAATTGGTTAAAAAAATTTACAAATGCTTTTCTAAGAGCTTAAGGCACAGTACAGCTGAATTTGAAAACAATTTGCTACTTCTGATGTGGAGATTTCTTTTAGTGATGACTTAATTTTCTTATTCTAGAGTAAAACATAAACCAAGTACAAAGATTTTTAAAAAGAAAACTAATATTGATCTTGTACGCCTTACCCAAATGGGGTATATTTTAATGGATTAAAAAAAGAATACCTTCGATCTTCTTATAACTTTCATACAAATTGAAATTGTTATTTTTTTTAATCTAGAAGTCACAAGTAATTGACTAATATTAATTTAATTTAGTGTCCCAGAAACTTACTCAGAAGAAGAGAACAGTCATATCAAAGTCTTTAGATTAGTAAAATACCTTTCCTTTTAGCCTTAGTGAGCTTTTTTATTTAAAAAAAAAAGTATTTTCATGAACGTTTCACAGTATTTCTCTTCCCCTGTCCTTGGTCCTGACCCGGTGACCTAAGAATCCAGAAAATGTCATGTTAGTGGTTACTAATTAGTGCATCCAGAGAGCCTTTTCATTTGGCCTTTCAACCTTTTGGAAGTAGAAGCACAAGCTGTCATTCGTATCATGCAGGGAAAATGAACCTTAACTACAGTTTTTTTTTTCCTGTGTTGAAAGCAAGAGAATAAGCCCAGCTGAGACTATATGAATATGCAGGTTAGGAAGAAATTAACCCCAAATCTACTACTGTTTCTGTTATTATTTTGCATAAGATGTAGTACTTTGTCACTGAAATACACATTAGAACTCACTTATATGTGAGATTGTTTACCAAACAGTGTCTTACTATTTTTATTTCAATGATACCTACTGAAAACATTAATTTTAAGGAAACATTAACAAATAATATATATATATATATATATATATATATATGCATGCATATATATATGTATATATCTGCTTCTTTCAGTATATACAAACTTTCATTGCTTTTATATGTCTTGGGTAAAAATACTTGCTAATAAAGATTTGGTTATAGTACTCATTAATCAATGCTATTACTCCAGTGTCTCCTGAGTGTTCTGGGTTTTGAGGGATCAGCTATTGTAATTTAAAAGATGAAATATATCATGATCCCAAACTTAGAAGATGAGACAATTAAATGCATTGAATTGATGAAAGTAATATCTTTAATTTTTTTCTTAGGTCTTTAAGATAGAAGTGCTAATGAGTGGACGGAAACATTTTGTAGAAAAAAGGTACAGTGAATTTCATGCTCTGCATAAAAAGGTAACTATTTTTTTATTGGCATAATCAGTATAACTTAAGATTCTCTTCCATATTATTTATGTTTTGTAGAGAAATATAATTTGTTTCATCATAAAATAGTTTTCATACTTAGGTTTTCTTCTTATTTAGTATTATTAGGGTATTATTTTGAATCATAAGTGTTCCTAAAAATTGGTTGAAGTATCTTACTCATGGTAAATACTTGGTGTTCTTTGAGTTCTTTGAAAAGAAAAAAAAATTTGTCTTCATGGAAAAAAGTTTTTTGAATATTGATTTTTTTTTTATTATTTATGTTTTTAAAACTACTTTTTACTTTGAATTTGTACAAAAAAGAGATTTTCAATGTTTACATATGTAGAATGCTGTTTGAAACATAAAAGGAAAATCTTAGACTTCTTGCTGCCTATAAAAGTACTACCTCAAATTTTTCATCCGTTTTGTTTATATACTGTTTTTTTCTTTCTGACTTGTACAGTTTATATTTTGTCATACATTTATTTTTGAAGGAAATTAGGATTATAATTCACTGGAAGCATAACAGAATTTGAGAATTGGAAGTGGCCATCTAGTCCAACCCATGCATGAAAGAAAACTACACTATAGTATAGCCACCAAGTGGTCATTCAGTCTCTCTGAATTACAAACATACCTCTTTAGGTAGCCTATTCCACTTTTGGGCAGATCTGATTTTTAGTAAATTTTTCCTGACAATTTAAATTGGCCTCTGAAATTTTCACCCATTACTTCTGGCTCTGCGCTATGGGACAGATGAAACAAGTGTAATTCCTTTTCTGTATGACAGCCCTTCAAGTGCTTGAAGATAGTTGCCACATTCTCCCTTGAGTTTTCTTTTCGTCTTGAATGTTCTTAGTTCCTTTATGGCATCCTCATATGACATGGACTCAAGGCCCTTTCATCCTGGTTGTCTGTCCTCTAGAGATGAGAGAGAGGGAATAAGCATTTATTAAGTGCCATTGTGAAGCATTTTACAAATATTATCTTTAATATATACATGTGATACCCAGAACTGAACACAGTACTCCAGATGATATTTGTTGATGGAAGAATGTGACAAGTCTATCCCCTTGTTATTCCTAAAAACTATATCTCTCATAATGAAGCCCACTATTCCATTAGCTTTTTTTGACTGCCATACTACGTTGCTGACTCTTACTGAATTTGTAGTACACTAAAAGCTCCATATCTTTTATAGAATAAGTGCTGTTTAGCCATGTCTCTCCATCTTGCCCTTGTGAAATTTTTTTTTTTGGCAACTGTAAGATTTTCCATGCCCCTTGAACTTTATCTTATTAGATTAATCCTAATACTTTAGTCCAGGGGTTCTTAATCTTTAGTGTCATGGGCCCCTTTGGCAGTTAGGTGGAACCTCTGGAACCCTTCTCAGAATAATGTTTTTAAATGGGTTACTGAGGAAACCAGTTTATTAAAAAGTAGTTGTCAAAATATAAAAAAAAAGAAAAGAAAAGAAAAATCATGGTCTCCAGATTGAATCCGAGGTCTAGCCTGTTAAGATCCTTTTGCATCCTGGAAGGAGAGAGAGAGAGAGAGAGAGAGAGAGAGAGAGAGAGAGAGAGAGAGAGAAGAGAGAGAGAGAGAGAGAGAGAGAAAGTGAGTGAGTGTGTGTCTGTGTGTGTGTGTGTTGAAAATTAAGTATTCTTTTCATGTTCTGGAAGATAACAGTACACAAATTATGCAGTAGTTTCTACCATGTAGTATAGATTTTGAATATTCCCTGGGTAATAGACTGAGTCTGTTTTTTGAAGACCACCTTGACTGTTCTTCTAAGTGAACTGGCCACTTGGCAATGAATTTTGTTTGGGCATGGCAACCAAAGAAGCAAGGAAAAATACAAAGTAGCCCTCAGCCTTTGTAACCACCTTTTGCTTCTGCAGCAATAGTGAGAGACTTGGTAGAGGGTACTATGAATCACACAGTTTTTAGACCATCAATGAATTTCATTTTGATTGTTGCTACTCTAAATGTCAGGTTCTTTGACCAATGAGTAGATAAGATATATGGCTGAAAAAGCTAAATCTTATCCAGTTTGACATCTTTATTATAAACTAAACTAGAAGAAGGAAGGAAGGAAACTTCAGCTACGTAGGGGCAGGATGACTCATAGGAAATTCTTAGAGATGCAAAGAAAGGACTTAGTGTAGTCATTTCATTATAAATCCAAAGGCAATGAAAAACTACATTATGGGATATACATATAACACATCATGTATTATAGTACTAAAGTTAAGTATTTTCAAAAAGATGTCATGAGAATAATAGCAACTCATTTACCAATATTGATTGCTGAGGTTGAAGTTGTAAGAAAATGGTAAAATTCTTCAGAGAACATTGATGAGACCCTTCAAGTCAAATGAATGTACAATCTGATGTTTGATGACTTCAAAGCAAGGATGGGAAAAAAGTTAGGGTAGGGAAGATGTGGTGGTTAGGGTACTAGAGTTACATGCAGGAAGACCTGTATCAAAATTCTACCTCATATACATACCAGTTATGTGACCTCAGCTTACTCCCAGCCATAAACCTATGATCCAATTATTTCATGATCCTGTGATAGCAATGGGACAGCATTATTAAGTAAGAAGGAAAGACAGAGACCAAAGACTTGTAGATTAGATAGAAACCTCATGTCTCTATATTGTTGTTAAGGTTAACATCATAAACACTACAAATTTGTGCTACATAATCCTAACTAGACCTTTAGTGTGACAAGGCATTCTTTTCACACCTTCTTAATCAATCCACAATTGTGCTCACTATTGCAGCTTTTCCAAAACTTTCTGTTCCTTTTCAAGCCTCCCACGTATGGGCCTCCTTCTCCCCAATCCCTTCTTGGTTTCCTATTTCACTAAAAAGATTTAGGCCATTCTTTGAGAGCTCTTCTTCTCTCCACCTCATCTCGCAATGTTCAGGTGCTTTCTACCACTATTTCCTCTATTCCTATTACCTCATGAAGAGATAGGCCTTCTTGCAAAGGCAGAACTGTTGATATGTGCAAGTGATTCCCATTCTCTCCAGTAGATTGCCCCCTGTATCGTCCCTACACTCCTACCAGTCTGGAATCTCTCCTCATTTATGGGCTGCTTTTTTTTCCTTTTTTTTAATTTTTGGCTAGGCAGTGGGGTTAAGTGACTTGCCCAGGGTCACACAGCTAGTAAGTGTTATGTGTCTGAGGCCAGATTTGAACTCAGGTCCTCCTAAATCCAGGGCTGGTGCTCTATCCATTGCACCACCTATCTGCCCCTATGGGCTACTTTCTTATTGCTACCTACAGACATGCTCATGTCCCTTGTATCCTCAAAACACACTCATTTTATTTGTCCATCATTGCTAGATATCTTTTATCTCTCTTTTCTTTTGTGGCTACACTTGAGAACTCCATCTACAACAGGGACTTCATTTCTTTTCCTTTCATTCTCTTCCTAACTCTTTACAGAGTGGCTTCTGACCTCATTATTCAGCCAAAACTATTCTTTCCAAAGTTACTAATGATCTCTTAATTGTCGATTCTAATGGTCTTTTCTCATTCCTTCTCCTTCTTGACCACTCTGAAGCCTTTGACAATCATCTTTTCTCCTCAATACTCTCTTTTCTCTAAGTTCTTCTGTACTACTGTCTTGGTCCTCCTCCTACCTATATGACTACTCCTCCAGCACCTTTGCTGGATCTTCATTGAGCTCGTTGCTGGAGCTTCATTGAGCTAATAATTGTGGTTGTCCCCAAAGGTTCTCTCCTGTCTCCTCTCTCCATACTGTTTCACTTGATAATGTCATCAGCTCCATGGATTTAGCTATAGTCTCTATGCAGGTAATTCTTAGACATATTTATCCAGCCCTAACCACCTTCCTGATCTAGTCTTACGTCTCTAATTGCCAATGGGATGCTTAAATTTGATATCTTATAGACCCAAGGTTTCAAACTTACCACCCATGGGCTGCAAGTAGCCTGCAAAACTCCTAAGTTCAGCCTGAACCAGATTGGAATGCAGTTGTGAAATGCTTAACAAAATAAATAAAAATCCCATACTACATAGGGGATGTTAATTTGTGGTTTTCTAACTCAATATGTGGCTTCTATGTTTGACACCACCATTGTAGAAATGTTAAACTCAGTGCATCCAAAACTGAACTCATCTTTCATTCTGAATCCTCCCTTCTACCTAATTTCTCTGTTACTGTTTGAAGGCACCAACATTCTTCCTGTCGTCCAGGCCTGCAACCTAGGTGCCATCTTCAGCTCCTTAACCTATCTAGCTGATACTACCTTTACAACATTTTTTGTATATTCCTGCATCTCTCATCTGACACTGCCCCCACCCTGGAATAGGCTTTCATCACTTTATATTTGGCCATCCCTGTTATCTCTAGGATCAAACAAAATCCTTTTGCTTTTCATAACGTGGCTCCTGCCTACCTTTCCAGTATCTTTATACTTTGCTCCCAGTCACGTACCCCATGGTTCAGTGACACTAGCCTCTTTTCTGTTCTTCACACAGAAAACTCCCTTCTTCCAACTGGGCATTTCCACTTTGCTATCCCCACATCTACAACTCTCCTTTTCTTTATCCTACTCTCTAGTTTCCTTCAAATCTTAGCTAAAATCTCACTGTCTACAAGAAGTCTTTCTTCTTAATCTCTTTCTTCTGAGATCATCGTCAATTTATATTCCACATATCTTGTTTGTACATAGTTGTTTTCATGTTGTCTCTTGAATCAGAATGTGAGCTCCTTGAGAATAGAGACTGTTTTAGCCTTTTTTTTGTATCCTCAGTGCTTAGTAAATGCTTGGTGACTTGACTTGATTATGGGAAGATTTGTAGACTGTTATGTTCCTGTCTGACAAAGAAACTGCTTGAGTTCTGCCTCATAAGGTGATAAATATTAGTCACTGACTGTTAGGAGGCACTTATTTGAGGCTTTGGGCAGTAGGGAGCCAGAGAAGGACAGATTGGCAAATGGAGAAGT